TCCAGGACTGCCCCAAAGAGGCCTCCAAGAGCACTCCCAAGAAGCAACAATTATGGATTTTCTGGTAGTTTTTGGTGAATTTTGGGGTTATCCTCTTTTCGGCTTCCCTACGCTCCAAGACGGCGGTCTTCTGGGCGTCCGAAGCCACCTGGGAGGCTCCAAAATCGCCCCACAACCATCCGAAAGGGCTTCCAGGCAGTCCAAGAGAGCCCCAAGAGGGCACAACACGGGTCCAAGATGGCCCTCAGAGAGCCCCATGGCGGCCCAAGATTGCCCCAAGACACCCTCCGAAGCATTCCAAATCGTGACCCGGTCGTTCAGGGAGACCGTGGTTGGAGGCAGGGTGGCCCGAGGAAGCCCCCAGAGGCCCCCAGAATACGCCCAGGAGGCCTCCAGAAGGCCTTAAGAAAGCCTGAGACAATTTCTTTCAGGCCCCCAGAGGCTCTCCCAGGAGGAGCCTCCACAAAAAAAAACTGAGGAGGATAGGGAGAATGCGCAGGGTATGGCGAACATGAGGAAAAAGAAGCATGGAGGAAGGATAACGAATATCATTATCATAGCGGCGATGCCGGAAAAGACAACAAGGAGTTATCGCTAAATTGTCGGCTTGATTTTCTTGCTATTCCGCCTGCAAACCAAACTTCAAGGACCCAGGTGCATGGCGCGAAGCGCCACTGCAGCCTTGTGTATATATACATATTTTATATATATACATATATACATATGTATGCGTGTAGGTGTGGCGCAATCAATGGTATGCAATACATATGGTGATTTCTTCGTATGTGTGCCGTATACGTCGTCCACTTACGTGGGGCGCGGCATCTGGTGTTACTATATACGATGTGCAATTTACGTAGGGCAATCGGTAGGTTGTGCAGCCTACGTGGTGCAAACTATGTTGCGAACTTGTGCACGAAAGGTGGTAGCGCAATCTGTGTTACGCAACGTAAGACGTGCAACCCATGATGTGCCATATACGTGGTGCAATATATGTTGTAACCGATCAGCAAGCGTGCCGCAGACGCGAATCCTTGTTGGAACAATCTGTGTGGTGCAATTCGCCCTGCCGAACTTAAAGCTGACAACTCCAGTGCTCGCGCAATCATCCCACCCACTCACCCACAATTGCGTTTGCAAAGCCCATGCTGCGGCGATTGCGATGACTGTTGCGTTGGCTGGCGCATCGCCGCGGCCGCGCTGGCGCGCGCGCTCGCGCGCAAAGCGGCCAAGTCGTTCGGCGCGACCGGCGCGGCCGCGGTGGCGCTGACCGCTGGGCGTTTCCCAGCTAGCACTTCAGTGCGAGTCGGCGACTTGCGCGGGCGCGGTATCATGGCGATGCCGACAACGATAGACGGGATGACGATAGTAGCGACGTTGGTGGCGATGGTGACAACGACGACGGCAGGGCCAGTCACGGCGCACATGCTGATCACGCCGACGACGATGACGGCCTCCCCGCGTCGGCGATGCTTTTGGAAGGAGTTCGACATGCGCGCGCTGCCGACGCGCGAAAGTGGCCCGCGTGGTATTATTTGACACGGATCGTGCCCCCCGACTACGCGCGCAAGGGCGTTCGAATGAGTTCGACATGCGGCGCGGGAGGCCTGCTTGGCATATCGCAGCGAACACGTTGATAACCCGATGGCGCCCGTAAGGATTCGCATAGCAGCGAGCGCAGTTTTCTGAAAGCCGATACAACCTGATGTTGCAAAACCATGTCTGTTGACACGTTTTCGGGGCAGTCGATTTTGAAATCTTTACGACGCCCCTGGTTTTAGAAGGACGTCGTCATGCTTGCGACGACGCGCGCGTGTGCATTTCGTCCCGTTGTGTGCAAAGAATTCTTGCGACAGCACGCGCAAAAGGGTGTTTTTTTTCCGGTGGCGACATGCGCGCGCGAAAGGCTTGTGTGGTAGCTATTTCCACTCAACATGTTGAAAACCGATATTTGGTTTTATATAACCCGCAAGAGCCCGAACGCAATCTTGTTCTGAAAATTTTTACACTGGGGAACCATGTGTTTTGTATACATAGTTGCCCGGGGCATTCGATTTGACTTGTTTGCGACATGTATGATTTGTTTGAATGATTTTGGCATGCGCGCGCGATGACGCGCGCGTGTGTGTTTCGCCCTGTTCATTGCAGAAGTTTTGACGAACAAGTCTGGTCGCATCGCATTTTTTGTGAACGATGAAAAGGGGCGGGTCGATATTGGCGAAGCTGGCGTGATACCATCTCCTTTCTAGGATGGACGATGGGGCACAATCGTATGTAAATTGTGATGCGAAAAGGGAAACCGTTAAAACTGGGGGGGGGGGGAGATCCTATTACGTACCTGTTCAGAAAGGAAAATCCACTGGCGGCGACGAGGCGGCGACGGCCGGCACGGAACCACCAGACCGACACACGCAAACCCAAGCGACAACGAGGCGGCGACGGGGCGGCGACGCCGACGACGTAGCCGCCAGACCGCCCGCACGGCCCAGGCGACTGGCGGCGACGACGCGGCGACGGGGCCGACGACGGCCGGCACGAAGCCGCAATGGATGAGAGGATTCGGGCATTTGGGAGCTTTTTGGGCCGACTCTGGGCGGTCTTGGGGCGCCTTTGTGTGATTGTCTTGTGGCTGTCTCGATGAATTCAGCACCCACACGGAAACATGAGGGCGGCCCTCAAGGGGCACGCGCGACCAGGGTGGGCGTGGGCTTTGGAAAGTTAGAGAAACGTGGCCAGAAAAATGCTAAACATTCTAACACGCCACATCCTGGAGGCACGGTGGCGGATGCTATTTTTCGGAATCCGACATCAGATATGTGGTTTCCGATGGTGATCCCACCTCCCGCGCCGTACCCCTTCACCTCCGCTGAATATTCCTGGTTCATTTGGCCTCTTCGTAGGGCGCCTTCGACGACGAGAGGTTCCGCCCGTTTGCAATGGCCGTCCTTAAATAGTATGTTCGGGGCGTGGGCTCGGTCGGATTGTAAGATCCGTGGGATTTCTTGGTGGTTCCTTTGGCAGTGCTGCGCCATTTTGTCGTAGCCACGGCGATCCTAAAGCTTTCCTGGGGCCTCCTCGGGGTCCTCTTGTTGCCTTGTTGGGCCATGCTCTGCATCCCTGGGCCTCCTGTGGCTGGCCATCTTGCTGAGTGTTGGGGCCATGCCTTCTGGGGGCGCCCGGGAAGTCAGGTGCACGTCATGGGCACATGTTTGAGCGATCTTGAAGCAGCGCTGTGGTTCCGAAGTTCCGGTGGCCGTTTTCTTGGCATCGCTCGGACGTGTGCATTTTTCTCTCGGCGAGGACCCTCGAGGACCATCCTGGACCATCGAGCAAATGAAACACGCACGAAACCGAAAAATGCACGGGAAATGGACGTCCGAGCGACGGCAAGGGCCGTTTTGCAGTCACGCTACAGTGGAAACCCATGCTAAGAAACACCCTGCGTGCCTCCAGGTTGCCGTGGGTTTCTTGGGTGTCGATGTCCTTGCTATGGACGCTCCCATTCCCAGAGTCAATGGACGTCCTGGGGTCTCAGGGTCGGGTTTCTCGCGGAGGGTTTCTTGTGGTCGAGCTCCTACTGCAGGACCCCCCTGGAGCAGAATGACGCAGTGAAGCGCGTCCCGTCTGTTTTTTGGTATGCCAGAGGCACGCTGACCAGCCCCTCGAGGCACTGGAAGACTTCGGGAGTCTCCAGGAGGCGCTTGGAGGCTTTGGGAGACTTGAAACCTCCATGGTATCGAGTACGCACTAGTACCTCCATGGCGGCCAGCTTACAGGACGAACATGCACATCAGACACCTATGGCGACCGACCTGAACGAGAGATGTACACACACACACGCACACACACGAATGACGCTTGACTCTGAGCATGATGTCCGCAGCCGGATGGCCATCACAAAGCGGGTTGTCGGTTTTAGTCGGCGAGCGGTGGGGCATGTTTGCTGCAAGCGGCAGCCCTACACGCATTGCGATCATATGTGGTTCGCGCATGTTCGTACAAGTGTTCCAGCCTCCAGTGTGTTGAGGAAGCCCCCCTTGCCCCAGAGATGCTGATCAGCTCGAGCCCCCTGGCTGGGTATGGCTCACGGCGAAGAACGGGCTTCGAAACCTCAGTCCTGGCAGTGACCAGTTTTGCCTCGCGCAGCAATCAAATTTGTGACCAGGGCAGCGACGCTGCGTCAGTCGCAGTTTCCTCCCCCCTTGCCTGTTACCTTCCGTCCTCCTGCCCTCCCCGCTCCCAGGCGGCACGTAACTCCGAGGCAGGTTGGGTGGCCTCACACGCGGTTTGTCGAAGTGCGATGTCGTCGGGGTGTCCGCCACGCCGCCCCCCCCCCCCCCCCTGATATGGAATTCCTGGGAAGTTGAATTCTGTATCGGCGCTGGATTTTCCGCGGTCGATAACCGGCTTAATTTGGGCTAGTCCGGCTTAATCCCGCTCAACCTGGCTTAATCGCAGGTTCCGTCTGGCCTCGTCAGGTAGAGTGGCCCTCCAATCGGGTTTACTCGCTCTGAATCGTTCCAACGAAGACTTCCCAGGAGTTGCCTCATACCCCCCCGTATTTGCTTCGAAGTAGAACAGTGATCGGAAGAAGGCTTCGTGCTCGCAGGCATGTTGGCCCGAGGAATACGAGAAGCGGCAGCGCTGGAGGGCAACCCTTATGTCATTTGAGTTTGATCCATCCACCGTGGATTGCAGTGGAGGCCCATGCCAAGAAAAACCCTGCTTGCCTCCAGGGTGCCCTGGGTTTCTTGAGCTTCTGTGGTTGTGCTGTGGAAAGGGCGACGTTCTCACCACAAATCCATCGATGTCCTGGGGTCTCAGGGTTGTGGTTTTTGTAGAAGGTTTCGTGTTCGTGTTGACTGGCATCCACTGTGCTTTTCCGCTTGAGTACCTTCGTGGGACCTTGCCCCCTCGGCGGAGTGGCGCGTGTCCTTGTGTAGTGTAAGTGTGGTCATGCTCCGATGGTATACGCATGCGAGTCGATTTTCATATTAAAGGAGGAGCTCATGGAGATCTCGATGCTGACGCTCAAGCTGCAGGATATCCACCAATCATTTGTTCGGGCTTTATACGTTGCAGCATGACGTGTTGTATAGCAGCATTGCCATGAGGGTAGCATGCGCTTCAATTGTGGGTTTACTCCTCCAGCCGTAATCGGTTCGGGATGTGTGTGTACCATCTAACCTCGCGACCTAGGGCCTGGAGTATATAAGTTCGTCGCTACTCGAAATATTGTTTTCGCTGTCCTCGCATAGTATGCAGGTCCAGCACACGTTGTGGCGTGTGTGTGTGACTGATAATGAGCATGCAGTAGTTGACTTGGCTTGGTTCGAGGTCAGGATCCGGTAGCTGCCTTGTGGCTGGTTGCGCGTTCTTGGTTGATGCGCTAGATGATGCCGTAAGAGCTCTGCCCCCTGCCGCTGCCACCTCTGGATTGCCTGCATGGCTTGGTCGATGGATTGGCAGCTTGGCAACTCGGCCAGCTGGCTGGTTGTCTAGCCTGGTTGGATGGCTGGCTGGGTGGTCCGCCGACGCTCCGAACCCTGGTCGCCGTGCTTTACGAGGCATCGCGGCTTGGGGGTCGCTGGCCCGTTGTTTTTTCCCCATATCCTAAGATGGGGTTCTTGTTATTACTTGGACGCCTCCTACTCCTCCTCCTTCCTCCTCCTCTTTTCTCCTCCCCTCCTGTCGGACTTACTCATACTCACACGTGCTCATACTCAGGCTTACTCATACACAGACTTACTCATACTCATATTTACTCATACTCAGACCTACTCATACTCAGACTTACTCACACTCAGACATACTCATACACAGACTTACTCATACACAGACTTACTCACACCCAGACGTACTCATACACAGACCCACTCATACCCAGACTTACTCATACACAGTATTTCTGGGCTCAACATCCTTCGCTTGGAGAGCAGATTGTGAGGATGTCTCAGGCGGGGCGCTGGTTTCAGCACCCCTGAGGGGAGCCGCCAGGGGTGGTTGCACGGGCTCGTTCGCGACCATTTTGTGGGGATGTCTCAGGCGGTTTGCCTGTTTCTGGGCCCAGCATCCTTCGCTTTCGGAGCAGATTTGGAGGATGTCTCGAGCGAGGCGCTCATTTCAGCACCCCTAAGGGGAGCCGCCAGGGGTGTTGCACGGGCTCGTTCGCGGCCATTTTGTGGGGATGTCTCAGGCGGTTTGCTTGTTTCTGGGCCCAACATCCTTCGCTTTCGGAGCAGATTTGGAGGATGTCTCGAGCGAGGCGCTCATTTTCACCCCCCAGGTGGGCCAGATTTTGAGGATGTCTCGATCGGTTTGCTTGTTTTGGTGGCCAGGCTCGTGGGCGCAGATTCTTCTCAGGATGCCACAGGAGGCTCCAACAGGCTCCAGGAGGCTTCCCAGGAGGCATCAGGAGGCCACACTCAAGAGACAGGATGTCCCAAGAGGCTCCAGGAGGCCCCAGGAAGCCCCAGGAAACCAGGAGGCCTCGGAAGGCAACAGGAGGCCCCGAGAGGCCCCAGGAGCAGGAGGCCTCAGAAGGCAACAGGAGTGGCTCCAATCCCATGTGTTTTACGTATGCTCCTATCGATTGGGCCTCACCTGGAGCACGATTCTTTGATGTTCTACGTATGTTTCTATAGATGGTCCTTCTCCTGTGTACACAATCCTAAATGTTTTACTCATGTTCCTATGTATTGGGCCTCTCCTGGGGCACGAGTCCTTGGTGTTTTACGCGTGTTCCTATAGATTGCCCTTCTCCTGTGGCTCTAATCCGCAATGTTTTATGTACGTCTGTTGCTATAGATTGCGCCTCCCTGGGGCACGAAACCTTCCTAGGAGGTCCCAGGAGGTCCCAAGAGGCTCCTGGAGACCCCAGGAAGCCCCAGTAGGTTTCAGGAGGCCCCAGGAGGCCCCAGGCTCATGCACAGAGACGCGCTCGTACTACTGAGGCTCATTCACACTCCAATTCATTCGCAGTTAGATTGATGTCCAGACCGTCACAACTGAAGCCCGTTAATATTCGAAAGCTCTTGCGCCTAGACATTCACGGCGGACAGGTCCATGCGAGTAGATGCACATATGGGGAGCTCCACGCAGTGAATAATTCTTGAGGGCCTCGTGGGGGAGCGCGGCACCCTGCGCAGCTTCTACGAGTGCCCTCCCTCCCTCCCTCCCTCCCTCTCTCCATCCCTCCCTCCCTCCCTCCCCCGTTCCCTCCCTCCCTCTCCCCCTCCCTCCCTCCCTCTCTGCACGCGCGCCGCAGTTCTTGTCACCCGAGCGGTCTCTTTCCCTCGAGAGCGGGCGCCCAGCTTCCAGCTGTACCGATACGGCCAGTTGCTTCTGCATAGGAAGTGATCCTGCACAGGTTACACGCCGGTCGTTGAAAGTAGGTATTTCCCCAATCAGAGCTTGCCTCTGTAGGGGTCCTATCGGATTAAAGGGTTAGGTGAGGTTTGTCGCCGATTTCGGTGGCCGGGCCCGGGTGCCTGGGTGCCCGGCGGTGCCCGGGTGCCCGGTTGGCCGGTGAGGTGCGTGGCCGATTACAGTGGCCGGGCCCGGGTGCCCGGGTGCCCGGGGGTGCCCGGGGGCCCGGGGGTGCCCAATAGCCCAGTAGCCCTATAGCCCTATAGCCATATAAGCCCTACAGCCGGTCGTTGAAAGCAGGTATTTCGGACTCGCAGATCCGAGTCTATTGCAAGCGCCTTCCTGTTTCAAGAACCGATATGTTGCTGCTGTTATCTGTCATTCTCTGAGAGGGCTTGAACCCAATGAACTTGATCCGCCTTCCTACTCCATGTTTCTATTGACTTCTTCCGACCGACGTGTACAGCTGTTTGGAAGGGGGCTCGCTGTTCCTCAGGCCCCTCCGTGGCTGTTCCTGTAGCCCTCCTCGTGCACCCCATGACTTATTGGGGGCAAACAAAATCGTTCCCGGCAAAGCCTTCCTTCTTGCAGCAGCCCGACTGCAATTTGCAACCAGGCCGGCGAAGCCAAGGCGATTTCACGATGGTCTCAGAGAGCGCCATGAACGGAGTAGGGGGTCCCAGACGGCCTCCAGAAGTCTTCCCCAGACACCCCAAAATTTCAGCCAGGTACCGGAATAGGATGTCGGAACTGCGTTGGCTTCTCACCCGTCGGCCCGAGACCGCTCCACGGCCCCCCCCCAGCTGGGAGCCAAGCAGAGCTCGAGGTTGCGCCACGCTCCAGCTTGTGGGCGCCCTGTGCCCGGCAGTGGGCGCCTCGTGGGCTCCCCCCAGCGCCCAGGGTTGTCCGATCGCCTTGTCGCAAGGCAGCGTGCACCACAATCCTGCCCCATCGTTCATTTTCGAGTCGAAATCATGCCATCCCAGCCACGCCAATAACGGCTCCCCCTTATCACCCTTGCCAAACCATGCAATGCGCGCACACATTTCGAAGTCATGCCAAGAGCATCAGCAGATGTTCTGCCCGCGCCTGATGTCTCAAGCCGTAAGAACCCCCTTGCGATTCTAGCAATCTCGTCCAGAATCTGCATTCTCATCTCACCGCGCTCTGTCCAAACCATGGGTTCCCGAAACGTTTCAAGATGAACAAGCCAAAAGCATGATCGACCCACGAACCTGGAAAGGGATTTAGAATTGCGAGGTTTGGGAACGCCCAAGACACCTCAATTGGGCGATGTGCAGTGGCAAGTTTATAGATACCAGTGGTGATGATGTGGTGCTCTGAGGCTGTGTTGTGCTTCTGTGTGCTGTGCCCCGCCGCACAGTGACTTGCCAGGGGACGTGCCAGGGGATGTGCCAGGCGACGCGTCGCGCGATGTGCTAGGGGGAAGCGCCCCGGGACGCGCCCCGGAGCGTGTCGGGGGGACGCGCCACGGAACGTGCCAGCGGACGTGCCAGGGGACGTGCCAGGGGACGTGCCACGGGACGCGCCGCGCGACGTGCCCAGGGGAGCCAGCAGGGAAGGTGCCAGAGAACGTGCACGAGGGTCACGGCCTCTCGTGAACCACGCAGCATCCGCGCTCTTGAGGCTGAGATCCCTCCTAACTCATGTTGGATTCGCGCTCCCAGGGCCGCGTTACCTAGTAAATTAGACGGTAGTCACGCTCCCAGGGCCACGATCCCTCCTAAATTGCGGTGCGTCCGCGCTCCCAGGGCCACGATCCCTTGTGAATTATATGGGATTCACGCTCCCAGCGCCACGATCCCTGACGTTTCCTTGACCTTCTGCGCTGGACCCGAAGGCGCTCCGCTTTCAAGGCCGCGATCCTTCGTTAATCACACTGGATCCGCGCTCCCAAGGCCACGTTGGCTCCCAAGGCCACGATCCCTTGTAAATGACATTGTGGTCGCGCTCCTAGGGCTGCGTTCCTTTGAAAATTGCACGGATGTCACGCGTCCAGGGCCACGATCCACTGTAAATTGCGCTGCGTTCGCGCCCCGGGGACAACGATCCCTCGCTCGCAACTTACGCTGCGCCCGCGCCCCCTGGGCAACGGTCCCTCGCAAATTACGCTGTGCCCACGCTCCCAGGGCCACGATGCCTTGTAAATTACGCTGCGCCCGCTCCCCCGAGGACGCGATCCCTTGTAAATTGCACGGCTTCCGCGCTCCCATGGCCACGATCCTTGGTAAATAACGATGCGACCGCACTTTGAGCACCACTTGGGCATCCTGGCGCGCCCAGGCCCCTGAAGTTCTGCAAAATAAGCGTTGGTTTGAGACATCCTCGAAACCTGCGCTCAGGAAGCGCCGTCCTGGAGCGGACACTCAAGAAGTTCACACTCGATCATGTTCTATACAGTTCTAGGGCTTCTGGATTCAATTATGGAGTGAGAAATCTGAGCAGAACGCTCCGCACCTCGTCTTTTACTTGGGGAAACGGGGGCATACGGACCCTATGATTGATCGAGGAGCATTATTGACGCTTCGCGTATCCCCACCAGCCCATCCAGAAACGATGCCCATGAGAGTTGACGGGGGGAGAAAAGAAGAGACACGCATAGTCAGGAGAGAGGAAGAGACACGCATAGTCAAACAGCAAGGGAGGCCGGCCT